TTTACTAGTAGGTCCCGGCTTTCATCGACTTGCCAGTGGACGTCTGTTTGACACTATAACTCAATGTCGATCTTTAATGGACTGCTTTGACCAGTATAAGTCTCGGATCGGGGGCTCCATTTCCGGGCTCGGCTGCAGCTGCGTCGCGACAAAAACAGCGTGGCGCGGCGTCCTGGTGGAGCGTCACCACGAGCCGTTGACTCGACTGCCGGTTGTCGTTGACTCGACTGCCGGTTAGTCGTTGACTCGAGCTGTCGGTTACTGCTGACTTGACCGCCGGTCGCCGTGACTCGACCGCCGATCACCGTTGACTCTAATCCGCTGGTCGTCGTTGACTCGTCTGCCGGTCGCCGTTTAACTCGGTTGTCGGTCGCCGTTGATTTAAGTTATCGGTCGCCATGGCACTCGGCTGCCGGTCGCCCATTGACTCGGCTGCCGGTCGTTATTGACTCGACTGCTGGTCGTCATTGACTCGGCTGCCGGTCGCTATTAACTCGGCTGCCGGTCGCTATTGACTGGGCTGCCGGTCGACTGATGTATTCTGCTGGTGGTCGCCATTGACTCGACTGCCGGTCGCCGCGCCCGCCGCGCCGCACCAGACGGGAGCGGAAAAGTTGGCTTTGGGGACTTCGGGTGGCGCGTGGGCGAAGAAAGCTGGGGTGGGCAAACCTGTCGAAACAGCGTCTTCCAAAAGATAATGCCGCAGTGGGGGCAACGGAATCGAAATCAAGGTGGCCGTTGCCAAACCTGTAATGCTTCTTACATGAGTTGGGATTGGAGCGCCCGACCCGCACTGCAACGGCGGTCGGTGCGATGGTGAACTCCAGACCTATCCACTCCGGGAACAACGGTGGGCTTTAGAGGTTTGCCGGAAGCATTGAGGCCAGGTACCAGTATCAACGGACGAGATAATTGTTCTGACCATAGGTGGGGCTTAGATTTGCACGGATGCCAGCTGCACCGCTGCTGGGGCTCGGCGCTGAAAAACACGATGCAATGATACTGGGCTGGGCGAGACGAGCAATGATAGGCGGTCCATCGAAACGGCGCGTCAGAATGCCATCTCATAAGCGGGCGATCATCACCGAGGCGCTGGACGCGCTAGCCAGAGAGAACGCTCGTGAAAGCGTACGAGCAATCCTGTGGGCCGTGACCGGACAGAATGTCTCGGCTCGCAAGTTACGTCCAATCGATTCATGGTTCGTTGCTGGCTCGGCACACGTACCGAGTGGCGTTGGAAAACCCGGACAAAGCCAAGCAAATTAATACACAAGCGTATGAGCCGAGCCGCATGTTCTAGATTCCGTGGTGGAGTTCATGCAGGTGGCGTCATGGTGGACATGCGATCGTGTTTTGTCGGCGGCTGAGCACGTACACGGAATTCAGAGATGCCAGCTGGTCAACTAAGTATAGACGGAAATGAAAGTGATGCCACCACAGCACGTCAGAGTGCTGTCCGGTGAACAGTCTATATTGACATGGTCTCTTCTCAGAATCGGGCTCGGGTCCCAGTTCAGGGGCCGTGCATGGCTTTGTTCTGACTTGGGCTAGATATCCCAAGCTCAGGGCCACGCGCTGGCGCTGGCTCGGGGGCTAACCCTGGCTTTGGTTTTACTAGACTCAGACGTTCCAGCTCAGGGCATTGGTCTGGCGCTGGCTTGGGGCCCCACTCTGGCTTTGTGGTCCGACCTGGGCTAGATGTCCCAGCTCAGGGTCTTACTCTGACGCTGGCTCGGGGGCTGGATCTGGCTTTGGTCTGACTTGGTCTAGATATCCCAGCCCAGGGCCTTACTCTAGCGCTGACTCGGGGCTGGCTCTGTCTTTGGGTCCGGCCCAGGGTAGATGCCCCAGCTCAGGGTCCGACGCTGGCTTCGGCTCAGCGTCATAGCTCAGCGACTGGCTCGGGTCCCGGTCCCGGCCTCCAGCTCCGAGTCAGACAATGTCGCGGGGCCGGCCGACGACATCATGCAGCTCCCTACGAGGGCAGCGTCGCCGGAGTCCGACGCTCTCAGCGCAGCTCTCCGGGCGGACAGGCCGGGGGCCAAATGCGGCGCAGTTCCTCTCGGCACTAGATGACCGACGGGCTGAGGCGGCTGGTGAGGGCGGAACGAGAGCCGCCCGGCTCGCCCGCCAAAGCCTTGTTTGCGTCCGTTAGGAGCGCTGTGGGCCTCTATTTCGCGTCGGAGCCGGCGCCGGCCGCTGGGTAAACAGGGTTGGTCCGGCGCGGGACACGCCGCCGGTCACATGGCGAGCGCCGCCGCACCGCCGTCAGCGCCACCGCACGCTCCGCATCGACACCTGCAGGGCCCTTCACCAGCGTCGTGAGCCCGGGGCGGCGCCGTGATCGCCGACGTCCCGCGCCGTCCGCGCCGGAATCACGAGCGTCGACACGCGAGACGCGAGTGCGGCGATAGCGGCGCCCGGAATAGCACCCGACTGCCAACCGCAGGCCGCGTTCGCTCGGCTCCTGGCGCACAATACGGCGTCAATCAACCCAGATACGCCGCTGACAGCCGACCGCCAATCCCGTGGGCGGAGACGGCGAGGCGGGCGCGGCCTCCGCTCGACGGCGCGTCGCATCCGTCACGGGCGGTCAGCCGCCGAGGGAAGGAGGTCTGCGCGCCGACCTGGAGCTCCAACCTCACGCAGTCAGCAGCTGTGCGCAAATGAACGGTACCTCTCAGCACAGCGTCTGGTGACCTTAGCGGCGCCGGTCACCCGGCAGCAGCTGCGCTTGGGTAACCGACAAGGACTTAAGCGGCACTTCCCACAGCAGCAGCTGCGCTTGGGTAACCAGCACACGAACAAGCGGCATTCCCACAGCACCAGCTGCGCTTGGGTAACCAGCACACGACCAAAGCGGCACTTATCCCACAGCAGCAGCTACGCTTGGGTAACCAGCACGGCACGAGTCAGCACCGAATTGCCGGCGTAGGCAAATTCGGCAGCTGACGGAATGAGCAGCATTGCTCACCTCGGCGGCTGGACGGGCGGACATCACCCATCACCACGGCAGCTGCAGGAATCAGGGCACTGCTCACTTCGGCGGCTGCGGGGACCACCAGCACCGTTCACCCCGACAGCTGCTGGGAGGAGCCGCACTAACTACACCAGTATCGATCCCGTCCAGTCATCAACCCCCCCCCCCCTCCACTCAACCATGATGACTCGACCTCGGCGAGTTGATCGAACGGTGCCTTTCCTGTCCAGTGTCCGTGTCACCCTCAATTGAAGGTTTGATCGACATGAGCTCATCACCGCCGGTTCTGAGAAGCTCCGGCTCCGCTGGACCTGGTCACCCGCAGCTCTGCTCTTCAGCACGCCATTGACACGAGGCCAACACCGATAAGACGCCACGTTGATTCCTATCATGATTTCCACCATGGACTTCTGAATTGATCGAGCGCCTTGATCCATGACGAGGAACTCGAGCCGGTCAGGATGTTTCTATATGAACCTTAACATGGAACTCTAGCCAATTACATCTTGCCATGATGCTTAACATGCAGGCTCTAGCCGATTACGACTTCATGTACGATCCCGAAAATGGAGTTATTAATCCGTTACAATCCCCTCAGTAAGCCCTGGCGTGGAGTAGTTCTGACCGATCACCAGTCATGAAGGATCCTTAACATGCAGCTCATACGAATCACGACGCCCTTACTCGATCCACAGCTTGTAGCTCAATTTATCACGTCCTGTCTGATCACTGGCCTAACAGTCCTAACCACTCACTACGACGTCTCACATGATTTTCATCATGTACTTCCATTTCATCGTGATCCCCTGCTTGATTCTCAGCATGTAGCTCAAAGTCATCACATCTTGTCTGATCACTAGCATGAAGCTGTGCTTAATATCAACACCTGACTCCTTCTTCGGAGGGATAGATACTTATTGTAACGTAGCCATCTTGCCTGGAGCATTTAACGATGCACATCATTCACCACAAGTAACTCGAAAGTGTTTTAAAAACGGCGCATAAATGCTGCCACAATCACTTGAAGTGAATTGGTCAATCCCTCAGCAAAGCAGAAAACGGCAAATAATTCGATTGCAACTCATGAAAACATAATTTCTAATCGTTTTAAATTCGTTACGGTTCTTAAAACCTTTGTTAGTTATTTTGAAATATGGGAGTCATCTCGCTTTAAACTGCGAAAAATTCATCCTCGACGCGCGAACAATTTCGAGGCTATCTTAAGTGAGTCAGCTCCCGCGGGGCATGACACTTAAGAATGCATGAAATGAATAATTCCGGTGATTCAGGCTTCTATATGTGTTTACTTACTTTGCCAGAATTTCCCGCCGACTTGCGGGCGATAAAGCAGCCTCGGTATAGCATGAACTCCACAAAAGTTGGGGAGAATGGTGAACTGCACTCCGAAGTTCGGCCGTCCGCACTTCCAAGACTTTGTGAGCGCTCCTTCGTTAACGATTCATGGCAATGCTCCCTCAGCTGTTCGATGCTGTACTGAAAAGCCCAACACACATGCTCCGCTTACTTTGGCGGCGACTATGACGCTAGACAAAATACTAGGCAGGCTCATCCCCCCAGTTGGTTCGCTGCCAGGCCTGCTCCGTTGCGTTGGATGTCGCTGTCGTTACACGCCGGCTGGTCGGCAAATTCGGTTACGCCGCGGGCCACGAGCGAGACGGCGGCGCGGCCACGGGATCGGGTGACACCGCGCAAACAAAGCCAATCCGCGGGCGAGGATTTCGCAGCCGCCAGGCACGCGACACCGCCACTGAGCGAGGACGACATCCTCGCGTGCTCCCGAGCGGCCCGGCCCGCCGGCGAGGTCACCAGAGGTTAAAGGGCGCGGGGCTCTGAGGTTAAAGGCCGGGCTCTGACCTGACCTGTTCTTGGGTCGGCCGAGCATCGGACAGGCAGAGCTGACAGCGGCAGCTGCACACGCTGGTGACGTCACTCTGCGATGAGCGGTGATCCGGCGAGAAAATGACCGACCCGTTGGCCGTGATGACGTCCACCCTCTAACCGAACCGTCTCCTGCGCCGCCTGCCGGCACACGGGTGAAGCTGTCAGCAGTGCACGCCGGACCACACACGGTGAGAGTGTGCCTACCTTGGTCTGTCTCGCCTACCACGTCATGACCGATGTTCAGCATTCATGGTGAACGTCTTTAAACGGACATTACAGATAAACTTCTTCCGAGTGAATGCCGAGGAGTTGTAACAGCGCGACTGCAGCAATAAGGACCTCGAAATTGAACGTCGGTTAGCTTGAGTTCGTCGGAATTTCTGGACACGTTTAATGGAAGCTCTTGTTTAATCTACGTAGGGTTTTATCATCAAGTATCCCCCGAAGTTTTCATGGAAGGTTTCCGAAACTGCGTACCTCCAACCCTTTGGGAAAAGGCGCCGTATCATTCCCACGCACAAAGTTTGACACAATGCCTCGACGATGAGAGCAAATGCTTGCCCGTGTACCCATTCATCTATCTTATAAGGCCTTTACGAACCCAATCCTACAAAGTTCAGCTCACGTCGCTGTGACCTTACACGCTACATGTCAATCAAATTTTTGTCGGCGCGAGGAACACACCACGAAAAATTCATCAGCCTCGTCAACCAACCATAACGGCACGTAATCACAAAGTGCATGCTAATGCCGCTTATGTAAGACTTATTATATTAGACTTATGTTATAGACCCATGGCTGCTACAACTTATTCAATTAGACGTGGTGCGCGATGCATCCTTTAACTTCAAGGATGTAATTCAGAGCTTAATATGACATCATAACATGGTCTGCTAAATCACATCGCAGTGAGCCTAACAGACCAAATGGGCCCTGCCAGTCGCATGGTCGCGTTCTCTTCGCACTGACTTCTGGGATAGTCTCCAGAGGGACGCCGCACCACAAGTCTCGATCTAATCCTCGGCTGACAGCCCCTTCGGATTCCGCGCCCTTGTTTGGACCCCAGCAGCCTCACCCCCCGCGATTCCCCGCCCTTGTTTGGACCCCAGTAGCCTCACCCCCCTTCCGATTCCCCGCCCCTGTTTGGACCCCAGCAGCCTCAACCCCCGCTGACCGTTGAGGTCCCTCAGCAGCCCCAGCAGCCTCAGCAGTCTCCCCTTGCTCACCGATGCCGGGCGCGGCTGGTCCGGTCTCGTATCCATCCGAGCTCCCAGCCGGGCCCGTCACTGCCCCCGCGCCCGTTACTGCCCCCGCGCCCGTCACTGCCCTGCACCGGCCGCTGCCCTCGGGCCCGTCACTGCCCCCGCGCCCGTCACTGCCCCTGCACCGGCCGCTGCCCTCGGGCCCGTCACTGCCCCCGCGCCTTACTGCCCCCGCCCCGTCACTGCCCCTGCACCGGCCGCTGCCCTCGGGCCCGTCACTGCCCCCGCGCCCGTTACTGCCCCTGCACCGGCCGCTGCCCCTGCACCGGCCGCTGCCCCTGCACTGGCCGGCTCCGGCGACGGCCGCTGCCCCTGCACCGGCCGGCTCCGGCTCCGGCGACGGCTGGCGCTGAGCACCCGGCGTGACGTCACGGCCCGCCGGGCGTTTTATTGCCCGTCGGTCGGCGGCGCCGGGCCGGACGCCTTCCCCGCCCGGCGGGCTGGTCGAGAGCTGTCGCCAGCCTGCGCCAGGCGGTGGTGGAGTGGGGACGGGGCGGGCTGCTCGGGAGCTGTCGCCAGCCCTCCGGGCCGGACGCCTCCCCGCCCGGCGGCCTGCTCGGGAGCTGCCGCCAGCCCGCTGCGCGGACGCCTTCCCCGCCCGGCGGCCTGCTCGGGAACTGTCGCCAGCCCGCGGCAGGCGGCGGTGGAGCGGGGGCGGGGCGGGCGGCGACGCGTCGTCTGTTTAGTCGATCGCCGCTCGATCCGTTGCCGAGTGCCGGTGGCACCGCGGCCCGGTCACAGATGCCTTCCCGGCCGAGAATAATCACAGCCATATGGCCCCTCGTGACGCCAGGACAGCTGTCGTCGTCCGGTCTGACACCAGACTGGCTGTCGCCGCCGCCCGACGGCATCAGTCTGGCCGGCGTCCGGGCTTCTCCCGGCCACGCGCAGGGGTGTCGCACTGTCTCCCAGGCATGCACAGCAGTGTAAGACCGCGCAGCAGTTACGTACAGGAACATCAGGCTGCCTGCTGGAAAGTCGTATATTGGGAAGCCGTATAAGGGAAGTCGTATAAGGGAAGGCTCCGCGGAGCTAGAGGAGCTCCCGACCTTCTCCCGGGGAGGTGTGGGAGCTCTACTTTAGCTCTCAGGCACATGCAGGACACCGGCCTGGTGTACGGGGTGCCATCTGCCTCCCGGGCGCAATGTGACAGATTGTCGAGCTGTTTTCCGGGCACATGAAGGGTGTGAGGCTGCCTTCCCAGCAGGTACTGGGATGTGAGGCTGCCTCTTGGTTGCGTGCGGAGATACCAGGCTGTTTCGTCGCCAGGAGGATGATTCGTGAATGGCTTGCTTCACACAAGGTCAGGTTTCTCCCCTGGTTCCAACTGGAACACCAAGACTCGGAGTTGGCACCCTTAGAAAACCTCCTGATGTGCCCACCGTTAAAATTGTCCGACTGCCTTCCTAGAAAATGACAAACGATGCTCGTATAATAGTTTTGGCTGCAAATCTGTCACATCAATGCGCCGCCTGTCACGTGTTTGTTTTCCCGGAGACGTGCGCAGAAGAGTGACGCCAGGGTTCCCACTCCCACACGCAGGCGGCTCGGCAGAGATCAGAAGGCTATCGGGGCGTCACCAGCTCAGCGGGCATCCATTTCCCACGGATCACGTCGAGTGACGCCAGGGTCCCCACTCCCACACGCAGGCGGCTCGGCGGAGATCAGAAGGCTATCGGGGCGTCACCAGCTCAGCGAAGCATCCATTTCCCACGGATCATGTCGAGTGACGCCAGGGTTCCCACTCCCACACGCAGGCGGCTCGGCGGAGATCAGAAGGCTATCGGGGCGTCACCAGCTCAGCGAAGCATCCATTTCACACGGATCACGTCGAGTCGCTGCGGTTTCAGAGAACCCCTTGCCCTGACTGACACCGGGCATCTCTGCATGAACTACGCGATACAGACACGGAGGCGTCCGTGCCATTGCGGTGGCTCTCAGCCAGTCGGGTCAGCGAGGGGGCAATTAGGATTTTGAAGCGAGTCGGTTTCCCAGCAAACTCCACAGTGTTCACAGCGCGGCTCCTTACAGAGCTTTTAAAAGCAGTGCGCAGTGGGATGTTCTGAACTGCGGATGAGTACAGGCTGTCACTTTGACCAAATGAGGCACAGCGATTGGAAACGAATGAGCAAGTAAGCGCGCATCAATTTACACGCTATATTCATGGTGCATCGTTGACCTGACTCCATTGTTGTTAGATGGATTACTGCTGTCATATTGGCCAGCAATAGCTGGTCCGGAGAGTACGACATGGCCACATGTCATGTGCGATGCTCTGACTGAGATATACACGAGGGATTTTATTGCTGTTCCCTAAGGTAGACACAAGCACAAATATAGCAAAAGAAGTGATTAATGCCCGCCCGAGACCGTCGTTTCCAAACCTGAAAGGCCCGAAGGTAGTGCTGAACCACTCGCTGCCAGAAAGCACTTCTTGTCACCGTTGACAACCGCTCGGCGGCCCTGAATAGAGCCGTGCCATTCCGCCAGCCGGCGCTGCATCGGGAGCCGTCACCTGGCTGTCGGCGCGTGTGTGTCGCTCCGTACGACAGGGTGGCTCTCAGACAACATCAGGCCGGCCTCCGAGTCCGCAGAGGCCGGCTGTAGGCCCGCTGGCGCTGACCCGACGGGCACTGCTTCCTTGCCATGCTACAAGTAAGCCAAGCGACTTTTTTCTTTGTTTGCCTTCAGTGATTAATAGCTCTTGTGCTGCATTAACGGCTCCAGTCGCGCTTTGCAGCAAAAACACAGCTGTGGCGTGTGCCAAAGGAATAACTTTCCCGTACAACTAAAGTTGGTGACGTAAGCAAAAACTATCTTGTTTTGTTGTGTGGAACTCATTGGCAGACATACCGCGCGCACTGCGGCCGTCGAACGGCTTCCTGCTGACGTTAGCGGCACGTTTCAGATGGACCAGAATGAAAGACGCGGGCACAGGCTGACTAAACCAGCTGAGGTGGGTGGCTGGGCGGACGTCACTGGCCGCACCTACCTGCACGCCTACTCGCCAAACTTCCGACGCGAACTGTGGTCATATTAAATTCTGTGCAGGCTGTACGGAGGCGCGGGTGGTAGTTGGGCCAGACAGGAGCGCGAGGAGAGTGGGCCGGACGGAAGAGCGGGGGAGAGCGGGCCGGACGGAGGTGCGGGAGAGTGGGCCAGACGGAAGCGCAGGGAGAGTGGGCCGGACGGAAAGCGCGGGGAGAATGGGCCGGACGAAAGTGCGGGAGAGTAGGCCAGACAGAACCGCGGGCAGAATTTCTCGGACGGAAGCGCGGGGGAGTGGGTCGGACGGAAGTTCGAGGAGAGCGGACCGGACGGAAGCGCGGGGGGAGTGGGGGTCGGACGGAAGTTCGAGGAGAGCGGACCGGACGGAAGCGCGAGGAGAGCGGACCGGACGGAAGCGCGGGGGAGTGGGTCGGACGGAAGTTCGAGGAGAGCGGACCGGACGGAAGCGCGGGGGGAGTGGGGTCGGACGGAAGTTCGAGGAAGAGGCGGACCGGACGGAAGCGCGGGGGAGTGGGTCGGACGGAAGTTCGAGGAGAGCGGACCGGACGGAAGCGCGGGGAGAGTGGGCTGGAACGGAGGCGCGAGGCAGTGGGCCGGGCAGAAGCGCAGGGGGGGGGGGGGGAGAGTGGACCAGACGGAGCGCTACGTGGGCTGGAGCCCTCTGATTGTACTTCTCGGGTCGTTCAATAGAATCCGGAGACTTTTTGTGGCGCGGCTGATTGTTGGAGCCGGATGTTAACAAACAAGCACGATCGGCAGGACTTTTCTGTTTGCCAACCAAGCTGATTTCATTCGGCACAAGTTGGGCTTAAACTGAGCAGCAGCGGGTAGGCCTGGGACTGGGGATGCAAAATGTGAGCGGTGCAG